TTTTGTTACTTTTACATAATTTTATATATATCTAACAGTTAAAAAATTTAGTTTACCAATATGTTGACATACCAAAGAAAATTATTTGTATTAAAGACTTATAATTATTTTTTTAGAAGATACACTAAAAATTAGTACTTAATCATTACATCAATTTTGAGATGAAAAATATTAACATAGAAGATGGAATTTATAGAAGCATTTTTGGGAAAGAAGAAGCATGCATGCATATGCTGTGCTGGTGACAGTCTTTGTACTAAAGAATAATTCTACTCGAAAGGGGAAAAAATAACAAAAAAAGAAAAAAAATAACATGTCGACGAATGTCAATTTTATTGAATATAAAATGGGAAACAGTAATAACAACATTCCACCTATGAGCTAAGTGCATAAATATACTTTGACATAAAATAATTGTATTTGTATTTGGATGCATGCAAATATTATTTTGTGGATTATATATAACGGAATGTTACTGAAAAAAAAAAAAAAAAATCACATGCTTAGGACAAAAGAAGGGATTTCGCGATTAGCAAAAAAACAGGGGATTTGGCTATGTTGTATAGCTTCAATTTAGTTTTTTTTTTTTTCTTCCCTTCACCTTTTGAGATCATTTAGTTACGTACACGTACATAATATTTAATATAGGTGTTCATCGATTCTCAGGCGGTTTTTGAATAATCGGTTTCAATTTGTTCTCCACCGACAACTGAAACCGCCCGAGGGAGAGGGATAACCAAAATCAATACCACCAAAAATGTATTTAGGAGTGTTCATCGGTTTTCTGGTGGTTTTTGAATAATCGGTTTCAATTTGCTCTCCATTGACAACCGAAACCACCCAAGAGAGGGGGATAACCAAAATCAATACCACCAAAAATTATCAGTTTCCGTTTAAACTGCAGGAAAAAATAAAAGTTTAAGCCTTTTTTTTTAAAAAATTTTCACTAAATAAATTCAAAAACTAAAAGGCCCATATGTAAAGCCATTGAGGCATAAATATGAAATGAGAAGTTTACTGAAGCATTAAGGGCATTTTATAGACACAAGGGGGCTGAAATTTCTGATGTGGTACTCCAAACATCTGTTGGTGTAAAGTTTAAAAGCGCTAAAACATAATAAAAATTATTGCTTGTGGAAAATTGCGTAATGAAAGGTTGTGGCGTAGTTGTTGTGCACGCGTTAGAGGTTCGGCTCCCGTCCATTGCAGAAACATAATTTTTTTTAATATAAGAGAGTCGGTTAAGTTCGGTTTGAAAAAAAAATTAATTACAGACCCGTTTAGTTCCTTAATTCGAGTTTTAAATTCGAATTAAGATGTGATTTTATGTGAGAACTTTTTACTGTAATAAAAAAGTTAAGTTTAAAAACGCTAAAACATAATAAAAATTATTGCTTTTGGAAAATTACGTAACGAAAGGTTGTGGCGTAGTTGTTATGCGCGCGTCAGAGGTTCGGCTCCTGTCAATTGCACAAACATAATTTAATATAAAAGAGTCGGTTAAGTTCAGTTTGAAAAAAGAATTAATTACAGACCCGTTTAGTTCGTTGATTTGAGTTTTTAATTCGAATTGAGATGTGATTCCCGTTCACTTCGCTGATTCGAGTTTAGAATTCGAGTTTTTCTACAGTAAAAAGCTCTCACAAACAATCACATCTAACTTTTTTGCTACAGTAAAAAGCTCTCACATAAAATCACATCTCAACTCGAATTCTAAACTCGAATCAGCGAAGTGAACGAGACTATGTGAGAGCTTTTTACTGTAATAAAAAAAATTAAATGTAATTGTTTCTAAAAGCCTTTTACTGTAGCAACACTCAAATTTTAAATTTAAATCAGTTAAATGAACATGACCTACACATATGTCTAGAGATGAAAAAGTAATTTGTTTATGTAAACAATTTGTGATATTTACTCTTACGTCCGTAAAATAATCCTTTGTTAGCCACCTATAAAACCGGTTATACAATTCGTAACTACCTACATGAAAAAGTACTTTTGTAATAATATCATTTCAATAACATAAAAAGACAAATTAATAATATTGTCAAATCAAATACACATTTTAAATAGAGAGTTTAAAAGTTATCATTTGTGTAAATACTTCTTTAAACAATTTAATTTGATTTAGGTATTTTCCGGTGAATCTCTAAAAAGAGCCACCGTAGTTATGCACCAAGATCTCGTTCATTTTATCGATTCGAGTTTTCAGTTTTAAATTTCTACAGTAAAAAACTCTCAAAAAATGTCACATCTAACTTTTTTTGCTAGAGTAAAAAGCTCTCATAAAATATCAAATTTTAACTCGAATTGAAAACTCGAATCTGCGAAGTGAACGAGGCCCAAGTAACTTTTGTTCTTTTGAAGTGTAACTTGATTGTAGTTTTTGAGTTGAATTTGAGTTATAACTTGAGTTGAAGTTATAACTTGAATAAAATTAGAACTTAAAAGAACGTGAACTTTAATAAAATTATAACTTGAGTTTAAATTTTTTTAAAATTTGTTGCAAAAGAACAACCCCTTAGCTAATCGGCATCATCTCTTCCACATTTTAAAATTAAATATTTTTTTTTGTTTTTTTTTTCTAAGAGCGCACAATACGTTTTGTAAAGTTCTCCCTCCACATTCAAAGTACGAAACTTTTTTTTTCTTTTGCTTTTTTCCCACCCGTTTTTGTCTTTGTTTTTTTCCTATCCTTCTTCTTTTTACTTTTCCAACAATTTGAATAACTATTATTTTGAAAGAATGTCACGAGCGCGAAACGCACATATAAACTAGTTACATATACTAAAGACGAATAGTTTTTTTTAAGGAGATTGAAATTCACGCGCTCAAATTTTAGGGAAAATACACCAAATAACACATTTAACATCTATGTTTAAAGTAAATAGCACATTTTTTAAATGTTGGCAAATTATAACACATTCTCATTAAACATTAAAAATATATATTTTTATTTCTAATTATACCCCTTTCAGATCTAATCCTAAATGTGAAATCCTAATCCAATATTCTATCTCATCATTCCTCCGTTCTCTCTCATCCCTCAGTATCTCTCTCTCTCTACCTTCTCCGGATCTCTCTTTCCCCTCCATCAGAGCTAAACCACGAGATCTACCTGGACTTCGATCTCATGGTCGTCAACGACGTCGCAAAGCTCTGGATCATTGATATGGAATGCAATTCCGCCATGGTTAAACTGATGATGGTCCGAGATCTTCGATTGCGAGTAGCACGGTTGTTTCTGATCTGTTATGGCGCTAGAGTGTTTGATCTATTGTAACACCGATGTTTCCAACCCAACCATTTCTCTCTCTCTTTCTCATTGCTCTCTGGTCGCCCACCCACACCTCTCTATCCTCTAAGCACGACCAGCGACAGCGATAGGACAATGACTAGCGATGGAGTTGTGAAGACCGGAGCTAATAGCCACGACTAGCAACAGCGACGAATCTCCTCACGATCTCTTTCTCTCTTGCCTTCCCTTTCTGACCTCGTGACGCTGTCTGAAGCTTTTCGATGACGATCAGAGACAAGAATTTTCAGATATTGCTGATCCAGACAACCATCATGCCGTTATCGCCGTTGAAGATATGAGTTTGTTTATTTTTATATCTGTCTGAGTTTGTGATTTTTTTTTAGATTAAGTTTGTGATCTCGTGTTTTTCTGAGTTTATTGTTGTTGCTATTTTTGTGTGTGTATTTTTTGTGATTTTGTTGGCGTTAGTGGCCAGATTTTTTGAATAACACAATATTTTTGGGTCAATACTGTATTTTTGAATCTAATTCTCAAATCCAATTCTCGATCCGGTAAATATTATATTTACTAGTAAATATTTCACTGAATTTATTTTTAGATCTTGTAAATACTATATTTACCAGTAAATGTTTTACTAAAAATTGAATTTGAATATGGTAAATACTTTACTAAATAAGTTTAAATATGGTAAGTACAGTATGGTAAATATGATATTTATCGGTAAACAGGGTATGTACCAGTCGTTGAATTTTTGGGTAAGTATATATTTACGAGTAAATACAGAATTTATCGGTAAATACAATATTTACCAGTTGTCGAAGTCGGTCGAATTTTTGAATAAATATTATATTTACTCGTAAATACGGTATTTACTGGTAAATAAGGTATTTACTAATAAATATAATGTTAAATGATTGCTGGAATCGGTGCCTGAATTTTTGGATAAATATGATATATACCAGTAAATACAATATTTACTAGTAAATACAGTGTTAAACGGTCACCGAAGTCGATGGCCAGATTTTCGGGTAAATATGATATTTACTAGTAAATATGATTTTTACCTATAAATACAGCGTTAAACGATCGCCGGAGTCGGTAGTCAACTTTTCGGGTAAATATGATATTTACCTGTAAATACAGCGTTAAACGATCGCCAGAGTCGGTAGTCAAATTTTCAGGTAAATATGATATTTCCTAGTAAATTCGGTATTAGATGGTAAATATAGTGTTAAACGGTTGCATGAAAACAATCACCGGAAAAACGGTCATTGCTCATCGAAAAACGGTCAAAGGTTACCGGGTCGCCGGAGCTTGTCGCGGGTCCCAGACATGGTAGACTTGACTATAATCTACATATTTTTTTAAAAAAATGCTATAATTTACTATTTTTAAAAAAATAAATGTTTAAGGGAGAATGGTGAGGTTGAAAAGTAGATTTAGAGGTATTTTTAGGTTTTCAATATTATTTAAAACTTAAAATATTAAATTAGGCTATAATTTATTATTTTTAAAAAATATATTATAGTTTACTAATAATTTTATGCTATTTATCTTCTTATCTTCAAATTTTAAGGTGAACACTCATATATTTAACTGTTAAAAATTTAACAATTAAAACAATAGTAAGTTGCTATTATCTTATTAATTTTTTATTTTTTGGAATTTTGTTTTGAAATTCGGATTTTCTTTTAACGGCATTTTTTTGGACTTTTGGTAAAACATAAATAAAAAAAAGAGAAAAAAATTAGGGTTCATTCTATACGTTCCTCTCATTTCTCAAAAAATCAAAGGGACAGGGCAGCAGCCCATCTCGGACACTCTCCCTCCGCTGTCCGCACTTCTACTCCCTACTCCGATTTCTCTCTCCTCTCTCTAGCAGAAAACTCAGAAACTTGTTTCGCAAAACCCACCGTCTCTTCTTCAGAACTTGGAGACACAACAATGGCGTCTGCTTCTATGACCTTCACACTTATAAAGCCCTCCACTTGCTTCCTCCCCAAGTATTCTTCTTCTTCTTCTTCTTCTTCTTGTTCTTCTACGTCTCCCAGGTTTAGGGTTTTCACTCTCAGATGCTCCTCCCAAGTTGCCGCCTCTGGTAATCAAAAGAATGTCTTCTCTCTTTCTATGTCGGTTTAGGGTTCTACAATTTCTCTGCTTTTCGGATTTTTTCTATGCTTCTAATTATACTTTATTTTTACTTTTATGTATCTACTGCCTTATGTTTTATTCGTTTCTCTGTCTGTGGATTTCCAAGTTCATCTGAATTTCATTAGTTCTCTTATAAAATACTTAGATAATGAACAATTCTCGAAGAAAATCATTTTGTTTTTTTTTTTTTTTTTTTCACATTGTGAGTAAAAAAATATCATTTCCTCATTGTTTGGAGTTAGCAGAAAGACCTTGGAAGGTGTCAGATGCTAGATTGGTGCTTGAAGATGGTTCGGTGTGGAAAGCCAAGTCATTTGGTGCTTCAGGAACCCAAGTTGGTGAAGTTGTATTCAATACATCTTTGACTGGGTGAGATGATAACTTAAAACGTTGTAATTCATGAGTTATCAATCTATTAGCTTAATGATGTTTGAAGGAAAAAAAAATAATGGGATTTTGAGAAGAAACTGTGTTACTCAGTTGTATAGGCTTAACATGGCGATGGCATTACTTTTGTTTGGTTGCTGTTGTATTTTGGAAAATTCCATTGAGTTTTATAAGGTTTATAAGTCTAAACATGAATTTTTAGCTGGAAAGTGAAATTTTAGAAGGCAACGGACTATTTGGAAGATAAATTTGTCAAGCTGTTTATTGTAGAAAACTTCACATGATTTATCTTTAGACTCGTCGGTGATGTTGTCTTAGAAGAGTCTTAGTAATTGCAGCCTTGATGAACTTGAGTGTCAGATAGTCATTTCTGTTCATGTATACGATATTAACTTCCACGACTCCCTGCAGTTGAAGATTGTGGCTGTCTAAAATCTGAAGCACAGAAGCTAGATATCTATATAAATGGTAAAATACAAATCTCCTTCAATTGAAGGGTGTAACTTAAGTACACATGAGATATACAAGTGAAGAAACTTAAAGAAAGGTGTTAAAGCTGACATTTGGTACCTAGTTATTGCACGTTTCTCCACTCGTATTATGTGAGCCATGCTTAGATGTTTTCACCAAAGTTGCAGTATTAGTCAAGATTCTCCAAAGCGTGAAATTGTTTGATTGAAATTTGGTTTCATAAAACTCTGAGAAAAGTCTACAGTATAGAATACACTACTGGAGTGAGGATAAACCATCTAAACTTATGTAGCGGTTAATGTGGAATTTTCAAACATAAATATTGTTTTGCACGTAGCATGATACTTGTTAAGGTGGAGACTTTGAGGATGACTTCAAACTTCTGTGAGGGTGGTTTGATGTTAACTAAATAACTTTACCAATTGAATCTAACCCGCTTCAGAAAATCTCATACAGATCCGAACTTTGAGGCTTAAATGTGTTTTTCTTTATCTTCAACCGTTCAGGTAACTAAATTATGCCAAATAACTTGATCTTTGAAGGATGCTGAATTTAATCTAACCTGTCATAAGAAAAAGCCTATAACTTAAAATTAAATTGTTGTGTTAACTGTCAATCAAAGTAATCACATTGACCAAAGGAAAATGAAAAGGAAAAGTACACCGTTTACTTTCAAAAGTTAAAGTTTATATTGTGGGAGTCTAGACTCTGGCTTCATGGTTTCCTACATCTACACTGCAGGTATCAGGAAATTCTTACTGACCCTAGCTACGCTGGTCAGTTTGTGCTGATGACCAATCCACACATTGGAAATACTGGTGTAAATTTTGGTAGGTGAAGTTTTTGTCTCGCTTTTGCTGACTTCTTTGTCTTGGAGATCATAAATTCTTATGTGGATTCATTCTTGTTAGATGATGAGGAGTCAAGTGAATGCTTCCTTGCTGGTTTAGTGATCAGAAGTTTAAGTATCGGGTACATTCTTCTTCCGTTGCTGATTCACGAGTATTCATCTAGGTGAATTGCTGATTTAGCTGTCTTTATTTATTGATTGTTATTTATTGTTTTCCTTCACAATTTATTTTCCAGTACTTCAAATTGGCGATGCAAAGAAACACTATGTGATTATTTGGCAAAAAGGAACATCATGGGAATTTGTAAGTTAATCATGCAGAGAATTTATTTATTGCTTTTTGCAGAGGCATTGAGCATATTATTGTTAGCCTTTCCTCTATGACTTCTGACTTCTGACGATGATGGTTTTTTGTTATATAACAGATGATGTTGACACACGTGCAATTACTCGTAGATTAAGGGAAGATGGAAGCCTCATTGGTGTCTTGAGTACAGAGGAATCTAAGACAGATGAGGAACTATTAAAAATGTCATGGTCATGGGACATTGTTGGTAAGAATTTCAGACCACTAAATAATAGGGTTTTAGAACTTGTAGGGACGAAAGAAAATTTGATTCGGTAACTTGATTTGTCTTTGTAGGAATTGACTTAATCAGTGGTGTTTCATGCAAGGCTCCTTATGAATGGGTTGATAAAACAAATTCAGAATGGGATTTTAACTCCACTGGTGGAGAAACATTCCGGGTAAGTGATCTATCATGAAGGTTTTTTGTTTAAATGATTATGTACCCTTGGTAATTAACTCATCATTTGTTCATATGGTTTGAAGATTGTTGCGTACGACTTTGGAATTAAGCATAACATACTTAGGCGATTGGCGTCTTACGGCTGTAAAATTACTGTTGTGCCATCGACATGGCTGGCATCAGAGACCCTAAAGATGAAGCCAGATGGGGTTCTGTTCAGCAATGGCCCTGGAGATCCATCAGCCGTTCCATATGCTGTTGAAACAGTCAAGCAAATACTTGGAAAGGTTCCTGTTTTTGGAATTTGTATGGGTCATCAGTTGCTCGGCCAGGCACTAGGGGGGAAAACCTTTAAAATGAAGTTTGGTCACCACGGAGGAAATCATCCAGTTCGTAATCTTAGAACTGGTCATGTTGAGATTAGTGCGCAGGTATATAAACTTGAAAAGATCAGCTTTTGTTTGCATTTATCAATGGCTCAGTAAATCATGTGGATGATCAGCAAGTCCTGGGCTTAAATTAGGCATCTTGCATCTTGCTACCTGGAAAACCATCCAAATACCATCGAGAATCTTATGGCCTTGCTCTTTAACACTGATTAGGAGTTGAATGGACTGAACAAGAAAAAGAAAAAAAAAGTGATGTGCATTTTACACGTAGTTGATAACTTGATATTAGAAAATGCAGCAATGAAATAAATTCTTGGCCATGTTAGAGATTACTGCAACTTATGCTCAAATCATTAATTATTTCCTTATTCCTCCGGGGTTCTCTTTTCACAGAATCACAACTACGCTGTTGATCCTGCATCCCTCCCGGAGGGTGTGGAAGTGACTCATGTAAATCTTAATGATGAAAGCTGTGCTGGCCTTGCTTATCCTGCAAAAAACATTATGTCTCTTCAATATCACCCTGAAGCATCGCCGGGACCTCATGATTCGGACTATGGTAAATGAGAATTTTGATTTTCATGTCTACACAGCTTTGAACTCCATATAAAATTCATTTTTTGACAATGCTAAAGTACGGAATATACTATGCTCAATTGTATCTGAGCAATCTTTAAGATCTGCATTTAGGGTGATAATGAGCTCACCAAGTCACGTTTTATCTATTGTTTCTATATGCAATTAGTATGTTTCGCTCGTTTAGTTCGCTGATTCGAGTTTTTTATTCGAGTTGAGATGTGACTTTATATGAGAGTTTTTTACTGTAGTAAAAAAGTTAGATGTGATTATTTTTGAGAGCTTTTTACTGTAGCAAAACTCAAATTCTAAATTTGAATCGGTGAAATGAACAGGGCCTAGTTTCTGTATTGTGGTTATTTTATACATGCAATGATATAAATCATTTTTGTCGCCGCAGCTTTTAGAGAGTTCGTCGAACTGATAAAGAAAGTCAAACAAAATGCATAAGCAAGCTTCACCCAGTTTTTCTGCGATCACCAACTCTTTTGGGGTGGCAATGGATAATGCTCAGACAGTAAGAAGGCTTCAATTTTCATGTGGAGAACAAGCGGAAGAGAAACTGGCTTCCTTTCCCCCCTCCGTTTTCTGTCACAATTTTGTTTGTAATAGGAGAGAACATAGTAGAGAGATAAAGAAACTTAATTTGACACATTTTAGTTTGTCCTTGAAGATATTTAGAAATCCAAGTTAGTAACCTGAGTGTATTTCGCCAAATGATGGTTGATTTATCATGGATTACATATAATAAGTATAATGTTGTGAAAACCTTGTACGTCTTGTCTAAAACCTTGTCATACAATTGGACAATTCATTTCACTAGGACATCCATTTTAACTTTGTGTTGGCTGGAGTTGCGGCGTTCTCTCACCCGGTCCGTTTAGTTCGTTGATTTGAGTTTTTAATTCGAGTTGAGATGTGATTTTATGCGAGTTTTTTATTGTAGTAAAAAAATTAGATGTTACTGTTTCTGAGAGTTTTTTACTGTAGTAAAAACTCAAATCCGTGAAATGAATGAGACTTAAATGTTTTATTTGCTTGTGTTTCAAGTAAGTATAAAAATGTTATTATTTATGAAAATATTGACACTCCAATTTATAATGATGTGTTGACGGATGCATGTAAATCAATGTGAGCTAGTGGGAAATTTCAGTAAGATTTTTTACAATTTAAACATAAAAATCTTTGTTCGTAGAAAAAAAAATAAAAATCGTTGAATCTATAAAGTCTCTAAAAACGTATATTTGGTGCAGCCATTTTCCAAAAAAAAATAAAAAAATAAATAAAAAAGAGAAGACGGACAGAAATAACAAATATATTAGACGTATGTTCACTCTTGAGCTAGACTTATTTTAAGCCCCCCAAAAATCCTCATCTATTGATTGTGGCATCAAGAACCCTGTGTTTCAAGTAAGTATAAAAATGTTATTATTTATGAAAATATCGACACTCCAATTTATAATGATGTGTTGACGGATGCATGTAAATCAATGTGAGCTAGTGGGAAATTTCAGTAAGATTTTCTACAAGTTAAACATAAAAATCTTTGTTCGTAGAAAAAAAATAAAAATCGTTGAATCTATAAAGTCTCTAGAAACGTATATTTGGTGCAGCCATTTTCCAAAAAAAAATAAAAATCGTTGAATCTATAAAGTCTCTAGAAACGTATATTTGGTGCAGCCATTTTCCAAAAAAAAATAAAAATCGTTGAATCTATAAAGTCTCTAGAAACGTATATTTGGTGCAGCCATTTTCCAAAAAAAAATAAAAATCGTTGAATCTATAAAGTCTCTAGAAACGTATATTTGGTGCAGCCATTTTCCAAAAAAAAATAAAAATCGTTGAATCTATAAAGTCTCTAGAAACGTATATTTGGTGCAGCCATTTTCCAAAAAAAAATAAAAATCGTTGAATCTATAAAGTCTCTAGAAACGTATATTTGGTGCAGCCATTTTCCAAAAAAAAATAAAAATCGTTGAATCTATAAAGTCTCTAGAAACGTATATTTGGTGCAGCCATTTTCCAAAAAAAAATAAAAATCGTTGAATCTATAAAGTCTCTAGAAACGTATATTTGGTGCAGCCATTTTCCAAAAAAAAATAAAAATCGTTGAATCTATAAAGTCTCTAGAAACGTATATTTGGTGCAGCCATTTTCCAAAAAAAAATAAAAATCGTTGAATCTATAAAGTCTCTAGAAACGTATATTTGGTGCAGCCATTTTCCAAAAAAAAATAAAAATCGTTGAATCTATAAAGTCTCTAGAAACGTATATTTGGTGCAGCCATTTTCCAAAAAAAAATAAAAATCGTTGAATCTATAAAGTCTCTAGAAACGTATATTTGGTGCAGCCATTTTCCAAAAAAAAATAAAAATCGTTGAATCTATAAAGTCTCTAGAAACGTATATTTGGTGCAGCCATTTTCCAAAAAAAAATAAAAATCGTTGAATCTATAAAGTCTCTAGAAACGTATATTTGGTGCAGCCATTTTCCAAAAAAAAAGAAATAAAAATAAAAAAGAAAAGACGGACAGAAATAACAAATATATTAGACGTATGTTCACTCTTTAGCTAGACTTATTTTAAGCCCCCCAAAAATCCTCATCTATTGATTGTGGCATCAAGAACAAATTTGTAAAGAAATGAAAATCAAACTTAATTACCAACTTTGGTTTATCATATTTGCCTGTGTTTCAAGTAAGTATAAAAATGTTATTATTTATGAAAATATCGACACTCCAATTTATAATGATGTGTTGACGGATGCATGTAAATCATTGTGAGCTAGTGGGAAATTTCAGTAAGATTTTCTACAATTTAAACATAAAAATCTTTGTTCGTAGAAAAAAAAATAAAAATCGTTGAATCTATAAAGTCTCTAGAAACGTATATTTGGTGCAGCAATTTTCTAAAAAAAAAGAAAAAAAAAAAAAGAAAAGACGGACAGAAATAACAAATATATTAGACGTATGTTCACTCTTTAGCTAGACTTATTTTAAGCCCCCCAAAAATCCTCATCTATTGATTGTGGCATCAAGAACAAATTTGTAAAGAAATGAAAATCAAACTTAATTACCAACTTTGGTTTATCATATTTGCCTGTGTTTCAAGTAAGTATAAAAATGTTATTATTTATGAAAATATCGACACTCCAATTTATAATGATGTGTTGACGGATGCATGTAAATCATTGTGAGCTAGTGGGAAATTTCAGTAAGATTTTCTACAATTTAAACATAAAAATCTTTGTTCGTAGAAAAAAAAATAAAAATCGTTGAATCTATAAAGTCTCTAGAAACGTATATTTGGTGCAGCCATTTTCCAAAAAAAAAGAAATAAAAATAAAAAAGAAAAGACGGACAGAAATAACAAATATATTAAACGTATGTTCACTCTTGAGCTAGACTTATTTTAAGCCCCCCAAAAATCCTCATCTATTGATTGTGGCATCAAGAACAAATTTGTAAAGAAATGAAAATCAAACTTAATTACCAACTTTGGTTTATCATATTTGCCTGTGTTTCAAGTAAGTATAAAAATGTTATTATTTATGAAAATATCGACACTCCAATTTATAATGATGTGTTGACGGATGCATGTAAATCATTGTGAGCTAGTGGGAAATTTCAATAAGATTTTCTACAATTTAAACATAAAAATCTTTGTTCGTAGAAAAAAAAATAAAAATCGTTGAATCTATAAAGTCTCTAGAAACGTATATTTGGTGCAGCAATTTTCTAAAAAAAAAGAAAAAAAAAAAAAAGAAAAGACGGACAGAAATAACAAATATATTAGACGTATGTTCACTCTTGAGCTAGACTTATTTTAAGCCCCCAAAAATCCTCATCTATTGATTGTGGCATCAAGAACAAATTTGTAAAGAAATGAAAATCAAACTTAATTACCAACTTTGGTTTATCATATTTGATGGACTATTTATCAAATCCCGCCATTCACTAACCCACAAGAAAAATCTGACAATTTATACTTTTTGTTTATTTCATACGTTAATTGAAAAGTTTTGGTTAAAATATTCTTTAATACACTTTTTTCTCTCACAAAAATATAAATTAATTTGAATTTTGTTTAAATTTTGAATTTTCTATTAAAAAAATTTGAGAAAATTATATAATTTGTTATGATTTTTTATAAGCTTATTATTTGTATCATTCTAAATAATTAAATGTCATTGTGACTTTTTATTTTTCTCTTTATTAATTAATAATTATTTATTACATAAAAAATAAGAGAAATTTACAGATTTTAATGTTAAGGGCAGATATAAAAGGAGCTTTATTTGAAGTGATATTTTTAAAAATGGCCTTACTATTGATTCTTGTTCCTAATTTTCTCCGTCCACATAAATTGGGCCATGTGCGGCCCATTTTAGTGTCTCAAAGCCCGCCAAGTTACAAAAACATGATTCAGTTTGAAAAGAAGCATCGCGTACGCCGATCCTCACTTCTCTCTCGCTCCATCGCCGTATCGTCTTATTCCTTTTTCCCAGCGACCTGTTTCTCCAAAGGAATCCCGATTTCTCGCATTTCTCCCTTTGCCCTTAACGAAGCTACAGTTATCCGGAGCTCAATTTGGTAATTCTCTGAACCCTAGCTCCAAAATTGGCCTTCCGATTGCGAATTCCACTCTCCATTTCTCGCAATTCGATCTTTCCAGTCGGAAAGTTCTAGTTTTTGTACACGATGATGATGATCGGTTTTGATTTTCTTGGGTTATTGAAAGCGATTTCTCTGTTCGTGGCCAGGCATTCGTTTTTTAAGCTGTCTTCAGTCCTGTACAATTTTCCTTTTTGGTGTTTTATGCTAATTTGCTGTTTTTTTTTTTTTTTTTTTTTTTTTTTTTTTTTTTTTTTCCAAATTGAAAAGTACCTCTAGTTTTGCGCTTTTGCCTTTACATTAGCCTATCTTCACTTCAGTATGGTTTTCGTATTTATACTTTTTGTAGATAATTAAACTGAGACAAAAAAGACTTGATTTACTTGCTATATGTGAATGGTTATGTTTTGCTTAAATTGTATTTCTTTGTTCCGTGTTGTTGCTTTCAGTTTTTGAAAGTGAATAGTATTTGGTTTTTGGATTTTGCCTCTAGTTATAGCAGGGTGAAAGAATGGCAGAACTGAGCATGGGAATACTCATTGATATTGTTGACGAAGAATGGATGAAAGACACTCTTCCTCATGACGGTACAATTTCTAATTATTAGTTTTTGTTTAAATTTCGCAAAGAACTAACTAATTTTCAGTTAATTTCTTCTAAAGGCGTGCTAAACGTTTCAATTTTCTTGTTTCCAGATCTTCCACTGCCACCTGTTATGGTAGTTCGAACCGATGACACTGAGGATTCGAGTACATATCTTGATTTGATCATGTTTATTTTTGTTATTTTTATTTTTTCCTCTTAATATCGTGTCAAAGAGAAAATTTTCTCATCTTAATATCGTGGAGGTTTGGCAATGTGATTGGAAACTAGCAAGAACATTTTATTATCTATTTGGTGAATCAGGAAATTGAAGAAGTGGAAAAACAAAAGAATATTTGGTGAATTGACTACTTGTACAAGTGGAAAAAAGAATATTTGGTTGATAAAAATCACTGTTTTAATTTTGCTGAGAATTATTCAAACTCTCAATACTTATTTTCTTTAATTTTTCTCTGTTGTGCAGATCAGGAGAATCAACAAGTTGATGGTGATAGTTGGCATGATCTTGCATTAGGCAATCAATGAACTTTTTCAGCATTGATAACATCTGATTGTAAGTTGCATAGTTGGGGTCCCTCTTTAAATGTTATCAAGCATGCATCTGTTTGCCATATTGGATTATATACCTTTTGGACTTTGAGATTTTTAGTGCAATTCTCACATAACAACCTCCACCACTACAATGATAATTTGAAAGAATATACTCTGCATTCGAATTTTGCAAGCAGGTATTGATCTTTAAAACAGAATCTGAGAAATCCAAATCCATTTTCTGATTACGTGAATTTTACAAGGATTAGATTCGGAAATGTCTAGCAAAAAAGAAAGAAAAGAACAGAGAAAAAAAAAACTCTGAATATATGTTGATGCAAGAGCATTATTAATAGTTGGCTTGTATTGTCCTTTGCTTCCTTTGTTAGTCGTTGGCAATAATGTCTCAACGCATTCTTGTTTAGGCCTTAATAAGTTGTGCAGGTTGTTTTGTACTCTCTTGTTAAGTTTTAAGTTTTAACGCTGCGTTTAGTAGCATCACATCTCAATAGTTTAGTAACAGAGTTGTGTGTAAGAGGGCAGAATTGATTCCCCTGATTTTGATTGTAATTCTTCTCCTTAGAACCCTATATCAAGTTTCTTAGAAGGTGGAACGATGATTCCAATCTCCACTGAGTTCTTCTACCTAAGATCTAGACTTCTATGTCAATTGGTATTAGAGCAAAAGTTGGTTTGAGCTCTGATGGCTCACTTCGGCGCAACAAGTTTCTATATTGTCAACAAGGATCATGATGCAATGGCACTCTGGGCAGAGCGAGAACTCCAACGCAATTGAAAGGGAGAATGTCACGGACCGCACATTTTTGCCCTACTATAATATAAGTGACTCGTTTCAAAGTTCTAGGATTCTCTAGAGTATTCTTTAAGGGTTGGAATCAAGTGGAATCCTCTAGAACATCCTATAAAAACCAAGTCCTTTCTAGAAGGTTCCGTAATATTCTAGAAGACTCTGTCAAGATCTATAAGACTCTGGAAGAATCTTGAAGCATTTGGAACTTTCTAGAAGCTTTTAGATGAATGAAGCATACTTGTAGTTTGTAGAAGGTTCTAGATATGTAAGTATGCTAGGAAGCATACTAGACCATTTTAGGCTAGTCACTTTTCTATAAAGTTCTAGAATGTATATTAGGAGGCCTCTTGGCCTGTAAATAGGAGGATGGGTCCTCATTTAGGACCAACTCCCATGGATGGAAACCCCATGGATCTATCCAAGACAACTTCCTCATTCGTACTCCTTTTCTTAAGTTAGTAGAGTTTTCTTCCATTAAAGCTTTCATTCTCTATTCCCTTGCTCTTTCTGTATCCATTTTTCTAAGTATTTGGGGTTTGTAAGGTTGACTTACATTGGGGAAGTGTTAAGTGCTGCACGGTTGTGTTGTGAAAAGATCGGACCGTGACAGTTAGTATTAAAGCTGAGTGGTTGAAATGCATGGGGGATGTAATCGCCAATCAAGGGTTAAGATCGAGAGTGGCATAAACTTCAACTCAGTAGTCTACGAAATGTTGAAGCCACATCTACGCCAAGCACTCGCGTGGGAGCGAGCAGGCATGGTAGCGGAATGTTTTGTAATATACCATAGTTTAAAGGGTTGGAATCAAGTGGAATGCTCTAGAACATCCTAGAGAAACCAAGGGCTTGTTCATTTGTATTTTTTGAGTTATGGTGATTTGAGTTCTTATCTTGATTTGAGTTAAGGTGTATTTGAGTATGGTTTGAGTTGAGACTCTAATTTGAGTTTGTGTTTGGATGTGCACATTTTGAGTTATGGTTTGAATTGAGAATCTATTTGAGTTTTTGTTTGGGTAGGTTAAAACTTGAATTTGTATTTGGATAGTATTTTAATAAAAACTCAATGGTGATGAAAAATTTTAATAGGGTATATGGGTGGTATTTTTATTCGTCTTTTCATTGTGAATGATGATAAGAACCGGGAATTGCTGGTCTATAGTATAGTATAAGGAAGAAACGTTAGCGATTAGTGGTTGACGTGGATATGGGTAGTGTTGAAACTTCGGTTCGGCGGGCTGCCCGAAGCCCGAATTTTTTCGGGCTCGGGCGGGCAAGCCCATTTCCCGCCCGCCCAAGCTAGATTTTTGGGTTCGGGCTCGGGCAGCCCGAATTTGACATGTCCACACTTGCCCGCCGCCGTCTAACTACCATATACTGCCGTCCGCCGGGATTTTTTTGAATTTTTCCGACCATGCCCGACCCGAAAAATGCATGAAAATTTATTGTGCCCGAACTCGCTGCCCGAAAATTGCCCGAATTCACTCAAACGGGTACTTTTTTGAATTTTGCCCGAATTTTTCCCGTCCGCCCGAACTGCCCGAATACTCGAAAACGGCTAATTTTTTGAATTTTTACCTGAATTTTGCCTGAAAACCCGACCTGCCTGAGTTGCCCGACTGCCTGAATTACCCGAAACGGCTAGTTTTTTGAATTTTGCCCGAAAACCCGAATTGCCCGAGGTTGCCCGACTGCCCGAATTTCAAAAAATAGCCGTTTATCCCCCTTTTTTTTTGAACAAAAATAATTTTTTAACCCCAAAATTTTCCTATAAATACCCCCCACACATTTTTCTCACTCAAACTCTCTCAATCCCTCTCAATCTCTCTCAATTTCTCTTAATTTCTCTCAATCTCTCTCACAATTTTTCTAAAGCTCTCTCTCTCTCAAATTCATCTTATTTTTTTATAATGGATCATTTTGGCTATAGTGGTATTCCCGTTGATGCTCAACACAATGTAGAAGAAGGGCAATTTCCCACTAATTAGTTTGTTACGCAGCAATCTACTAATCCAAGCCATAGTGGACGTATTGGAGGTCGTGGTCGCAATAGTGGGCGTGGAGAAGCGGCGGCGAGTGCGACTGCGTCTGCGTCTGCGTCGGCAAGTGTTGCAATCTCCAGGAGGAAATGCAAGCGTACATCGACAGTTTGGGATCACTTCGACATAATTGACGAGGTGGATAATAAAGGTAACACTAAACATATAGCTCAGTGTAAATATTGTTTATCTAAATTACAAGGCGACACTATTCACGGCACCACACTTGAGATGACACTCCGAAAAGTGTCTTCAAAAGCTTAACCAATCTAGCGGACTCGAACTCCGCCAAACACAATTATCTTTTGATCGCGCAACCGGTGGTCTAACCACTTGAAAATATGATTCGCAAGTAGATCGTATGTAAGTTGCGCGAATGATAGCTGCTTTAGATCAACCACTTAGTTTTGTAGAGCATTCTAATTGGCAACGATATATTAATGTTGTACACAATCTTAATGCACAGTTCACTTCAAAAACTACTCTTAGGAAAGATTTATTAAAATTATTTAAAAAAGAAAAGGATGTATTAATAAATCTTTTACACTCGACTAGCAGGTGCGTTGTGTTAACGGCAGATATTTGGTCTGCCGTTGCCAATAAAGATTATTTAGCTGTAACCAGACATTACTTTAAAGAATTTAATTTAAATAAAAGAATATTATGTTTTAAATGTGTTCTAGGATCACATAGCGCGGATTTAATATATAACACAATTTTAAATGTAATTGATGAATTTAGATTAAGAGATAAAATAATGGCTATAACATTAGATAATGCTAGTGCCAATACAAAAGCAATTGAATTCTTTGAAAATGATTTAAGTCTATTCGGTGACGGTACTATTTTTCACCAACGTTGTGCATGTCATGTAATCAATTTAATAGTTAAATCCGGTTTAAAAGAAATATGTAATCACATTAAAAGAATTAGAGATAGTTTTGCATGGATTCAAGTTAGTAACCAAAGACAAGAAGATTGGTTTAGGTTTTTACAAGCATTAAATATACCTCCTAGAGCATTAGCATTAGATATGCCTATAAGATGAAACTCAACTTATATTATGCTTCAACAATGCATCCCTTATAAGGATGCAATAACAAACTATATGTGTGTAAAATTAGGAGTAAGACATATAGACGCATTTGATTGGCAAATTGCCGAAGTTTTGTATCAATTTTTAGGTAGGTTTCATGAAGTTACTCTAAAACTTAGTAGAACATACTACCCAACATCACCTTTAGCTTTAGGAGAACTTTTAAGAATTAGTATTTTATTTCACGAATATAGGGATGACCTAATCTTAGGAGTTCCTATTCAGTCTATGTAAAAAAAATTTAAAAAATATTGGTCTAAGTTACCTTTGTTATATGGTTTAAGTACAATTTTTGATCATAGATTAAAATTAGACGGATTAGAAAGTGGTTTTGAAAACTTAGGTGAATTTTTAGGCATCACTTGTACGGATCAATTTTCAATAATAAAGGCGAAAATATGAGATCTATAGTAAATATGAGATTAGGTTTAGAAGCACAAACTCTAGAGTACAGGAATCGCAACAACATGATGAAAACCCGCATTCATTCTTAAATGTTTTCGGGTTAAAGAAGAAGAAGAAGACAACTCAAACGAAAGCTGTGAGTGAAAGTGGATCTTCATCAACAAGTGACAATAGCGGTAGCAACTTCAACGAGCTTATGGCGTACCTCAGTGAAGGCTTAGTAGTCGGCAGTGCGGCAGAATCGTTTAACTTAGTTCAATAGTGGAGGGCACGGGCATTAACTTGGCTAATCCTAACTCGATTGACAATGGATATATTTTCGATCCCAGTCTCCACTATTTCATCCGAACAAGCCTTCAGTACAACAGGAAAAATACTTGAGGAACGCCGGAATGCATTGCAAATGGATATTGTTGAAGCCTTGGTTTGCATTAAGGATTGTGATCGGGCCGATCAACGTCTACAAGATACAATTTCACCGGCAAGTCAAGAATGAATCGATGAATTTAATCGATTAATATTTAATTTTGAAGAAGATTCCTCAACTTCAAATTAAATTGTAAATTTGTAATTTGTAAATATGTATTTACTTTTTACATTGTATTTGTAATTTAAGAAACAATTTAAGTTTGTACAATTTGTAATTCATCACAAAATGATTGCACTCTTTTTTTCTTGCCAAGTTTTTATCCCAATTGGGTTTTTTTTGGTAAGGTTTTTAATGAGGCAATCATGAATTACAAATTTAAAAATTAATAAAGAAATAATTTTTTTATATAGTTCGTGTGTTCATTTCAAATTTAATATATATATAAATATAA